CAGGGGATCCCATGCCCTCTTCTTTCCTCTTTGGGCATTGCACTTGGTGCATTTACATACATGCATGCAAACACTCATACGCATAAAAATAAATAAATACAAATAAAAAACTAATCTGAAGGGAGGGACAGAGGGAAGGTGGGGGCCAGGCAAGGACCAGTCATGAAAGTGTGTGTATCCTGAGTTGAGGACCATGACTAAGTGATGTGCTTGAGGTTCGCATAAAAATGCAAATTTCTGAGCCCTGGCCTCAGATAAACCTGGCATTCCATATGTATTGCTGTGGCAGGACCAGGGCGGCAGTGCGTCTGGCTGGCCGCCAGAGGGCACGCGCATAGCCATGACCTCCACCTGCCGGTGGGGTTTTATTTTTACAACAGGGAAGCAGAGTGGATCTGGGAGGAGGGCTGCTTTGCTGCAAGTTCGCATAGCGGTGGTGGTGGTGGTGGGGCTCCCTCGGGAGAGTCTCCACCCCGCGTGCCTTCGGGAGTAAGCAGCGGGCAGTCCTGTGGGTCTCTGGCTGCCTTCTCCCCACCTCCCCATTATCCCACAGAGCTGGAATGGGTGTGGCCGCTCCTGGACTGGCTAGTCCAGCCAGCTGCATCTGCCTCCAAACAGGTTTTGCTTGGTCTCAAGTCGATCTCTAGGTTTCTTTGGCAACGACTCCAGGTCAGGAAATGTTTAGCCAGAAAATCCAGGACTTCCAAGTTTCTGGGTCACTGGGGCAGCTGGCAGCCGTGAGCAAGTGGCATGTGGCAGCCCTTGGCCAGCTGCCACCAGCGTGGAGCCCGGCAGGCAGGGTCTGCAGTGACTTAGAGCAGTACTCTTCTCGGATCATAGCTGTTGCTTTTTTTGTGCAACTGTATGTGGAGATTTGTTGGCTTTTTGTTTGTTTTTTAGTTTCCTAGGTACATAGACAATAAAACCCTGGCAACTCATCTGCAGCCTTAGTCCTTCCAAGAGGTAGCAAGCACTCTCTGTGGTCTCCCTGAAGGATGGCCATCTCCTCCTCCCAACCGGCCCTCCACCCTTGTCTGGTGCCCAGTGGAAGTCTAGCCACTTCTTTCATCCCAACAGCTTACAAACTTTTTATTTATTTAATTTAATGTGTATGAGTGTTTTGCCTGCAGGTATGTAAGTGCACCTGCATATAATACTCAAGGAGGCCAGAAGAGGGTGTCAGATTCCTTAGAACTGGAGTTACAGATGGTTGTTAACCACCATGTGGGTGCTGGGAACCTAACCCAGGTCCTCTACAAGAGCAGCCAGTGCTCTTAACCACTGAGCCATCTTTCCACCCCCAGGTTACAAACTTTTAAAATAAAATTTTTTAAATTTAAATTTAATTTAAACTTATTTTTTATTTTAAAATATATTTTATTCATTTTTATTTTATGTGTATGAGTGTTTTGCCTGTGTTTCATGTGTTTCACATGCATGCAGTGCCCATAGTGGCCAGAAGAGGATGAGGAATACCCTGGAGTCACAGATGGTTGTTAGCTGCCATGTGGGTGCTGAGAACCAAACTCAGATCCTCTGGAAGAGCAGCCAGTGCTTTTAACCACTGAACCATGTATGTGAACTTGCATCATGCAGACAAAATACTCATGCACATAAAATAGAAATAAATAAAAGAAGATGGGATGGCTCATTGGTTAAGAGCACCAGATGCTCTTGGCAGAGGACCTGGGTTCAATTCCCAGCACCCACATGGTGGCTACCAGCATCTGTAACTCCAGTTGCAGGGGATCAGGATCTGACGCCCTCTTCTGACCTCTGTGGCCATTGCATAACACAGGTGCACTTATACACGTGCAGGCAATACACTCATAAAATAAAAATAATACCTCAGGAGGCAGAGGCAGGTAGATCTTTGTGAGACTGAGGCCACCCTGGTCCACATTGTGACTTCCAGATGGACTGTGACTAGGGAGACCCTGTCAAAAATAAAATAAAAATAATAATTTTTTTTTTTTTTAAAGAAGGTGGACTGGGGAGATGCTCAGTGGTTAAGAGCATTGGCTGTTCTTCCAAAGGACCTGGGTTTGGTTCCCAACACCCACATGGCAACTAGTAACTGTCTATAACTCCAGTTCCAGAGAATCTGATGCCCTCTTCTGACCTCTAAGGGCACTGCATACACAGGTGCACTTATATACATTCAGGCAAAACACTCATACACAAGAAATATAAATAAATAATTTAAAATTAAAATAAGCTGGGCACGGTGGTGCACACCTTTAATCCCAAACACAAGACTACACTTTACTCTCTGCAGGGAACATGATTCCAGGGTGCCTTCAGATCCAGTTTTCAGTAGGAGTGTCTATGTAGCAAAAATTTAAATCTACGGCGGGGTATTCCTGTAATCCCAGTATTCTGGAGTGAGTCAAAAGGATCAAGGCTAGCCTGGGCTACATAGTGAGTTTCAGGTCAGCCTGGGGCAAATAAATAAATAAAATAAATAAAATAAAATAAAATAAAATAAAAAAGAAAGCAGGCAGGCTCTGCCTGAAAAGCTGTCTTGTGCTGTGTCTGCAGCTGTGTTCTCATCTGTAGACTTGTTCCTGTGCTGGGTAGGTCTTGTGGGGCCTGAGGAAATCTGAGGCAGTAGAGGGTCCCAGTGCTCTCTCCCACCCTGGTATAAGGAAGCCACACAGAGGCCAGCATCACCCAAGGCTTGCATAAGGTATGGCACCCACAGAGGTGATTCCCATCATCACTGCTACTGTTGGTGGCTGTGCATGGCTGTAAGGGGTTAACATATTTTGCACACTGTGTCTGCAGCCTTGGTGGCCTCTGAGGGTTCAGAGGATGTGACTCATCCACCTAAGGGGGGAAGTGGTGATTGAGCAGGGCCCCAAAGTCCTGCCGTATTTGCATGGCCATGGGATTTTGCTTTTTACGTTAGCAAAGAGGCCTTGAGGGTGCCCATGGATGAGCTGACTCTGGGTCTCTGTTTCTCTACCTTGGGCCAACTGCTTATGAAGGAAGCTCATTAAGGTGGGCTCTGCTGCCCATCCCAACCCAGGAGACAGCACCATCATCAAACTCACTTCCTGCTAGCTTCCTTTTGGGGCCTTCCAGGCTGCACTGCTGGTCACTCCAGGCTAGGTGGCCTTCCCCCCATAAGGCTTCAAAGACATGGCTAATTTTCAGGCCCTCTCTAAGCAGCACTCTTGTCTGTGGCAGAGGCTTGCCACATCTCATCCCTTACCTCATCTGCCCACCTTCCCCCCCAGGGCCCAGCAACTTTACTGACTAGGCAGCCTAGCCGTGGCCTCATCTTCTGGAGCCCAGGACTGCTGAGATAGATAGGCTGGGGAGGCTCCAGGTCCAGGAGGCAGGCCACAACTTCCCAATTCTTACCCATAGGCCCAATCTTCCTTCAACCTCTCACATCCATACTTAGGCTCACCTGGCTATGGCTGGGCAAGTTTGAAATACCACAACAGGAGACGGGAAGGTACTGTTTTCTTTTAATAGACAGGGTCTCATTATGTATCCCTGGCTGGCCTGGAATTCCATATGTAGACCAGGCTGGCCTGAAACTCATGAGATTGGCCTGGCTCTGCCTCTCAAGTTCTGGGATTAAAGTTGGGAACCACCATGTCCAGCACCACATGCAGAGCCTTCATTTGCAGTGAGGATGTTAACCTGCCTAGATCTTTTTTTTTTCTTTTTTTTTTTTGTCTTTTTGAGACAGGTCTCCCTGTAGCCCCAGTTGGCCTGGAACTCACTATGTAGACCAGGCTGGCCTTGAACTTACAGAGATCCACCTGCCTCTGATTCCCAAGTGCTGGGATTAAAAGCATACACCACCATCCCCAACAAGACTTTTTAGTTTTAAATATGTGCATGTATGGGGGTGTGTGTGTATGTGTGTGTGCGTGTGTGTGTGTGTGTGTGTGTGTGTATGTGCATGTGAGTACAGGTGCTGCCAGAAGGGGGCATCAGATTCCTTGAAGCTAGAGTTAGACCTGGGTGCTGGGAACTGAACATGGGTCTGCAAGAGCAGCACATGCTCTTAACCACCGAGCCCTCTATCCAGGCCCCACTTAGATTCTTAAAAAATTATTTTTTTGATATATCTATTTTTATTTTATGTGTATGAATGTATTACCTGCATGTATATAAGTGCAGTCATGTCACAATGCCCATGGAGACAGTTGTTAGCTGTCATGTGGGTACTGGGAGCCGAACTAGGGTCCTCTGCAAGAACAGCCAGTGCTCTTAACTGCTGAGCCATCTCTCCAGCCCCCTCCCCTCACCTCCCGCCACCACCAAGATTCTTATAAAGGTTCTGCCCTGTGTCCATAGTGCTCCAGTATTACCCTAAAAACTACCCCTGGTCCCCAGTCCTAACTTGAGAGTTTAAAGTCCAGGAAATTAAAAGTCAAGGCTGGATATGGTTGTGCACAACTGTAATCCTAGCACTTGGGAAGTTGATGCTGGAGTATCAGGAGTTAAGGGTCATCTTTGGGTGCATAGCAAGTTCAAGACCAGCTCAGGCTATGTAAGGTTCTACCTCCAATTTCAGTGTGGGGGGGGTTGGGGGCTGGGGGAAGGAGAGAAAGAGAAATAGTTTAGAAGAGAGCATGGGGCTTCAGCTGGTGTGGGAAGGCCTAGTGTTAGAGACATTTCATTCAATAAGAAAGTCTGCTGCAATTGGCTGGTATTTTATTAAAAACCACTCACACACACATACACACACACACACACACACACACACACACACACACACATACACGTATGCACCACAGATGTGCACACGGGTAACAGAGACAGGAAAAACAGGATGGCCACATAATGTTTCTGCAGGCACTTCACTTAGAAGAGAGCATCTTCAAGATCAGATTGACTGACAGGCATAAACTGGGGTGGTGCTGCTTCTGTGGGGACTCCAGGCGGTTTCCATCTAGAAGGATGTGAAGAAAAGGCGCATCTGTGCAGACAGATTTAGAGGTCTCTCTGCTGTGGTCAGTGTGGTCCTTGGTACCTGAGTGTTGCTAAGAGCAGGGTGGAAGGGACAGACTTCCCTCAAGGTCATTTTCCTTGCCCAGAACGGGAGGATGCTCTCTGAGGCAGACTGAGGAAGGTGGCTCTGGCTGCTTGGTGCTCAGGAACTTAGTGTCACCTGAACAGTCCACAGCCATACCTGGGGTCCTCTTAGGGGGAGGACCTGCAGATCCTTTCATGGGGCCTGGAGACTGTGGCCTTGTCAAGCAGATGCATCTTGAGAAAGAAATGGAAATGTTAGGTCAGCTTGCCAGGGACAGAGCCTACCCAGAAGCCCTTGGCTCCATCCGAAGTCCTGCTTCTCACTGCTTCCCTGCACCACTCCCACTGGGATTATTTAATTTGCTGAATTTATTTATTGTGTGGGTGTGTGTAGGTGAGTGTATGTGGTACATGTGCACATGTGTGTGCACCCATGCATGCCTACAGAGGCCAGAGGAGGACGATGCGTCTCCCACTCTATCCCTCTTCACCCTTCAAACAGGGCTACTGAACCTGGAGCCAGGTTGACAGCTACCAAACTCCAGTGATCCTCCTGTCTCTGATTCCCATGGTGTTTTTTGTCTTTTTTTTCAAGATCATGTGTGTGTTTTGTGTGTGTGTACAGGTGGGGGGAGAGAGGGGGGAAAAGCAAAGGTTGATGTGGGATGTCTTCCTCTATCACCCTCTGTAGCAAGTTCCAGGTTAGCTGGGGCCACAGGGAGAGGTTATCTCAAAAAACCAAACCAAACCAACCCAAAAACAAAAACAACAAAAATTTCACCTATATTTTCTAAGAGTTCTATGTTTTGTTTTTGTCATAATGTCAAGAAAATGTTTGTAAAATCCCAACACTCTGGAGGCAGAGGCAGAAGGATCAGGAGTTCAAGGTCATACCTAATTGTGTAGTGAGTTTGAGGCCAGCTTCGAACATGATTCCTAAAAAAAAAAAAAAAAAAAACCACCAAAAAACCCCAACAAGGGCCAGGCATGGTGGTGCACACTTTTAATCCAGCATGTGGAAGGCAGAGGCAGGTGGATCTCTGAGTTCCTGACCAGTCTAGTCTACATAGTGAGTTCTAGGCCAGCCAAGACTGCATAGGGAGACCTTGTCTCAAAATTAAAAAATAAAGGAAGAAAGGAGGGAAGGGGGAAAGGAAAGAAAATAAAGACAATGAAAGAGAGAATGAGAGAGGGAGAAAGAAAGAAAGGGAGGGAGGGAAGGAAGGAACCAGCAAACGAACAAAAGAAGAGAAAAACGTGCTTGCCTGCACCTAGAAGCTGGATGCAGAGCATGTGGGATGAGTTAGAGAGGGGTCCTTATGGTCCATCCATAAGGGTTGTCTTCTAGGCCCTGCCCTCCATCTCTACTCTCAGTGACCCTTGGGACCCAACTTCCTGGAGGGCAGAATCATTCCTTACTGCTGAGTCAAGGACAAGCCCCCCACTCCTGATCGGGGCCTTTCAGATGCACTGAGTACAAGTAACTGGAGCTCACCTGTTGACTGGGTTATGCAGGAGATCTTGTAGGACAGCCACAAACTGGCCAGACAGAGGAAGCTGGCCAGGAACCCAAAGATCTGCAGTGGAAAAAGGAAACTCATAGCCATGGGCCCATCCTCATGCAGCACTATCTGGTTTTCTTCTCTGTGCCTGCTCCTGGTGCTGCTATTACAGGAAGGAAGCTGGGGAGCCATCTGACCTAACTGCCTCGACCCCCTCTTAGTTGCAGAGAAAGAGCTCAGAGAAGTCTAGTCTTGGGCCTCCGGTCCCCTGTTTAGGCCCTACAGCAAGGCCTCCGCTCTCATCACTTTAGGCAACTCTAGGGCCCAAACTTGAGTTGATATTTACAACCAAGTTGTGGCTAACCCACTGGACTTTGATGATCCATGACTATTAAAGATGAAAAAGGTAGTACTGGAAATTTTAATTTGGGTTTTAAAATTTTAATATTCCTGTGGGTTTTATGGCAGGCATTGTTAGCATTTCACTGGTAGAGGCTTTCTGGTCTGCCCTGGCTTTATAGCCACATAAAAGCCAGAGGCTGAGGTCTTGGTTTTTAACTTTATGCCTGTACATACTTAAATAACAGTAAAAATAAGTCCAGGGTCCACCCAGTGCTGGGTGTGAGAAGGGCTGACCTTGACCCAATAAGCTTCTCAAAGACGGTTGAGGGAGAGTGGTCATGGGTCCCTGGTGTATTGGGAACCATGAGCCTGTGGCCATGTGCCTCTCTAATGACACATACTAAGAGCTACAGCAGGCAGAAGGCACTGAGCAGTTTCTAAACTTACCTGCCAGGGTTCTAAGCCTTCAGGTGACCTGACTCCTTGAACCTCACAACTCCATAAAGTGAGCAAGGTCCCCCCCCCATGACCTTCTCATTTCACAGCTTAACCATGGAGGGATAGGAGACCGCCTCTTTTGCCAAAGACCCCAGAGCAAGCCAGGGCCATATACAGGGTCTGAACCTGGGCAGTGGACTACATGACTCTCAGTCTGCTAGACTGTGGCCCAGGTGTCCTCAGACCCACACAAAAGTCTCCTCCAGTGACCATGTCATCACTGTTGTGTGACTTCAGTCAACAGCTCATGTTGGACATGTACAGTCCAGGAGCAGTCAGGCAAAGGGTAAGATTTCCAGTGAGGCTTGCTGGTTTTTTTCAGGCCTATCTGCTGGTTGGCACACTTGGTTGTCCCCAGCAGCAGCCTATACCCACCTCTTTTGGAAAGCCTTGTCTTTGGTTCCCTTTGTACTGATTATCTAAGCCACATAATTAGCCCATTAGAGCCTGTCCTGACTTCACATTGTCTGTTCTGCACAATTAGCCCATTACTACTACCCCGGTCTCCAACTGTCTGCACTGCATAATTGAACAGTTTATTATTATATCACTGCAATTCTAGACCACAGTGCCTTGTTTGTTTGCTGTCACATGGGCCCTGTCCTCATCTCCTACACCAGAGGGCTACTTTCTCATGAACAGGGGCCATGTTTTCTTTTACTTCTTTTGGCTTCCTGTAGTATGGGTTTGCCCTTAGACACAGGCCAGTATGTGATAAATGCTAGCATTGGGACTCTAGGGCTGACATAGTTACATGTGACCTAATTATAAAACCCACTGGGAATCCCTCAATGTGCGCCTTGAGACCCAGTGGTCAGGGATTCCCTGACTCCTGTCAGCCTGCACTATTTATTGTCAGACAGATGCCAACCTACAGTAGCAGCCACCTCTCTCCTTAGAGGTCACATGGAATCCGGAACACATGAGAGGCACTGTGGAAGGTGTGTTGAGGGCAGCAGTGTTTATGGGCTTGGCCACCCCTCTGCAGAGATGTTTGGTCCCTGCTGTACTGATCTTCAGTTTGCAGTACAGCAAACTCCTGGCCAGGCCATGGTCTAGAGAATTCTGGTGATGTGCATAAGTGAGACTCCAGCAGAACTTTTCTTGAAACTCATTTAAAAGAATCTTGTCTGAGGTTAAGGATGTAGCTTAGTGGGTAGAGTACTTGCCTAGCATGCACAAGTCCTGGGATTGATCCCCAGCACCATGTAAAACTGGATGTGGTGATTCATGTCTGTAATCCCAGTGCTAGGGAGGTAGAGGCAGGAGGATCAGAAGTTCAAAATCATCCTCAGCTGCACAGTATGTTTAGGTCAACCTGAGCTATACATCAGCTATCAACAATAAAATAAAATGGTAACTGAGCAGGGTGGTACATCCCTGAAATCCCATCACTTGGAAGAGGCAGATGATCACTGCAAGTATGAGGCCAACGTGGGCTACACAGAGACCCTCAAAAAAAAAAAACAAGAAACAAAATAAAATTAAGCAAACAAAAAAATCAGCAAAAGACAAAATACAGGGGCTGGAGAGATGGCTCAGAGGTTAAGAGCACTGAATGCTCTTGCAGAGATCCAGGGATCAGGGCCCAGCATGAACATGGCAGTTAACAACCATCTGTAACTCCAGTTCCAGGGGATCCAATGCCCTCTTCTGACTTCCGTGGGCATTTGCATACATGGGTGCATTTACATACATGCAGATAAAACATTTATGCACATAAAATCTTTCTTTCTTTTCTTTTTTTTTTTTTTGAGACAGGATCTTCCTGTAGCCCCAGCTGGCCTGGAACTCGCTATGCACACTAGGCTGGCCTTGAACTCACAGAAATCCACCTGTCTCTGCCTCCTAAGTGCTGGGATTAAAGGCATGTGCCACCACACCTGGCTATATAAAATCTTTTTATAAAGACAAAATACAAAGCTAGGATTCATGGCAGACATCATTAGTTGATCACAGTACCCTTCCCTTACGACTGAAAAAGACCCCCCAAATATTTCTCTCTGGTGAAAGGGCAGCCACATGTAGATGCTCACGGTGGAAGTGGGGGGTGAAAACCAATTTACCCCCTCATTTAAATAGTGGCTGCAGGAGAGGCAAGCCTGGGTTACTGAAGCTTTTCAAATTTGTCAATGGCCCAAAAAGTCTACCTTCCAGGACCCTCTGTTGTATGTCTCTGTGTCAGGCTCTTTGGAGAAATTGGCTGGCTGGATCAAGGTAGATATGGGTTCTATGAAGAAAGGCCCCAGAAGCCAACCCCTGCCCTGCCCCCCATCAGGAAGAAAAGAGCATTTCAGATCTGACTGGTTTCTAAAGGTTCCCAGGGCGTGCTCACCGCTCCAGCTACCAGTCCACTCTGGTTGTAACTCTTGGAGGCTGCCACAATGGAGGCGATGAGGAGGAACAGGGTGCCGATCACATAGTGCAGAAGTTCCTGGGGGGGAGCAATGATGTGGGTACAGAGGTCACCCCTAGTGCTTAGGGAACAAACTGGGCATCAGAAGAGATGACAAGGAGACAGCTGTGCTTCCTCACCCTGACAACACTTCAGCAGTTAGAGCTGCATAGCTCACAGGCAACCAGTGCAGAAAGCAGGGCCGGAAAGAGGCCACGCCCATGAGAAAGGATGCTGGGCAAGCAGTAGAGGACACAGAAATGAAGTGGAGCTCAGTGAGGGTCTCAGTGAGCGGAGCTACTAAGAACTGCCTCGTTCCTTTGTAAACTTTGACCTCTGGATAAAATTACTAATGAACAAATAAGCTCCTTTAAAAGAAAATTCATTACTTTTATTTATTTAGTTGTGCATGGCACACATCTGGAGGTCAAAGGACAATTAGCAGTTTTCTCATTCCAGTGTGACCTAGGGATTGAACTCAGATCGTCAGGCTTGGTGGCAAGTCCCTTAATCCCCTGAGCCATCTTGCTAACCCCAAATGAACTTCTAGCAATTCCTAGGGCAGGGAGTTAAAAGCAAACTCCAGCTCTGAGAATAAAAGCCACTGAAACTGTGTGAGTGAGCCTTTCTGTTCTGCTCCAGAGAAAGTTCTAGTAGTGTGCTGACTTTGTGTGGCTGATCACAGCAGCATTCTTCTCTTCTCATACCCCAGGTGTGGACATGATGGGCCTTCATTTCTGGGGACCCTATAGAAACAAGTGAATGTGTCACAGGAGGCTGGTGGCACATCTGTGAGGTGGATCCCTTCATATGGATCTCTTCTCTGCTATCACAGAAGTGTACCCTCTGCTGAGCCTGATGCTCTTTCAATTCTCTCCTAGTGGAAGGAAAGAATGGACTGCCTAAAGTTGTCCTTTGACCTCCTGACCTCCATAGGTGCACTGTAGTATAGACACACACACACACACACACACACACACACAGAGAGAGAGACAGAGAGACAGAGAGAGACAGGGAGACAGAGAGACAGAGGGAGAGACAGAGAAAGAGAGAGACAGAGACACAGAGACAGAGAGACAGACAGAGAGAGACAGAGAAATTAGTTTTATTGAAATGTAAAACTTGTTCCTTACATTATCTAAGTCAGGCATGGTGACCCATGCCTGTAATCCCACACTCAGGAGGCTGAGATAGGAGGATTACCATGAGTTGGAGCCCAGCTTGAGCTGCATAGGGCCATCTTGTTTCAAATAAATGAAAACCAAGGGGCTTCAAGGTTGCTTGATGGGTAAAGGTACTTGCCATACAAGCCTGATGACCTGAGTTCAATCTCCAGAACCCACATAAAGGTAGAGGGAGAGAGCCAGTCCCATACATTTGTCCTCTGACCTCCACATGTATGCCCTGGCACATACATCTGGCTCTCATACACACACACACACACACACACACACACACACACACACACACACAATAATAATGAATAAAATTCTAAAAAATAAATAGAAGCCAGGTGTGGTGGCACACGTCTTTAGTCCCAGCACTCGGGAGGCAGAAGCAGGCAGAGTTCTGTGAGTTCAAGGCTAGTTTGGTCTACACAGCAAGTTCCAAGCCAGCTGGGGGTACAGGGAGACCCTGTTTCAAAAAGACCAAAAAACAAAACAAACAAAAATAAATAGAAAAGAAAACAAAACAAAACAAAAAAAACCCCAAAAGGACACTATGTAATAAGAAACAACCAACACAATGGGAGAGAGTATTTACAAATTATATATCTGAAAAGGAACTTTTGTCTAGAATACAGGAAGAACTATACAAAGACACTAGTTAGAGAAGAGGCAAAAGGTGAGAACACTTCAAGGAAATACAGTCAAAAAGCATATGAAAAGATGATTGACATCAACAACCACTAAAGAAGTGCAACTCAAACCACATGGGATGCCATTTCACACCCACTATAATAGTTAGAGCCATGAAGTCAGATGCTAACAAGTGAGAACAAATCCATGGAGGGACTGCCATCCTCACACATGGCTAACAGAAGGCCAAATAGTCCAGCCACTCTGGCCTCTAGACTGGCAGCTCCCCAAGCAATTATAGATTATCATGTGACACAGCAATTCCCCTCTTAGATATATGCCCAGGAAACTTGGAAATACCTCTACACACAAACTCACATATGAATATTCATAACAATATCATTCATCACAGTCAAACCATGGAAACAACCCAGATGCCCACCAATAATAGCAAATGAGGGGCTGAAGTGATGGGTCAGTGGTTAAGAGCACTGGCTGCTCTTGCAGAGGACTTGGGTTCAGTTCCCAGCACCCACATGGCAGCTAACAACTGTCCCTAACCCCAGTTCCAGGGGATTCAACACCCTCTTCTGACCTCTTTGGGCACTGCAGGACATGGGTGCACTTACATACATGCAGGCAATATACTCATACACATAAAATAAAAATAAAATAAATTTAAAAAAAGAGGAAGAGGTCAGTCAAAATAAGATGAAATTGTTTTTGAGGGGATGAAATGATCTAAGATTGCCTGTTGTAGTAGCTACATAACTTAGGAAATACGCTACAAACCTCTTAAACTGTATACTTGACATGGTGATTGGTAAAGTCCCTGAATTCCAGGTTACAATGCTTTATAGGGCTTGGGGGTGGCTCAGTGGAGAGCACTTGCCTAGTATGTGCAGACCCCGAGTTCCATCCCCAGCACTGAAAATAAAAGCAAAATCTTAAAAAATAACAGTAATGGAAGCTGGGCATGGCGGCACACACCTTTATTCCAGCACTCAGGGAGGCAGAGGCAAATGGATCTCTGTGAGTTCCAGGCCAGCCAAGGCTACATAGTGAGACCCTGTCTCAAAAAACAAACAAACATGGGGCTGGAGAGATGGCTAATGGTTAAGAGCAATGGCTATTCTTGCAAAGGACCTGGGTTTGGTTCTTAACACCCACATGGCAGCTAACAACTGTCTGTAACTCCAGTTCCAGGGGATCTGATACCCTCTTCTGGCCTTTGTGGGCACTGCAAGACATGGGTACACATAAAATACACATAAAATAAAAAAATAAAGAAATAAAAATTAAAAATAACAATTTAAAAAAATAGTGGGAGACTGGGGCTATAGCTCAGTTGATAAGAGCTTGTCTATCATACACAAAGTCCTGGGTTCAATCCCCAGCACCACATATACTAGGTATAGTCATGTTGCCTGCCTGTAAAGCCAACTCTCAGGTGGTGGAGGCAGGAGGATCAGAAGTTCAAATTCAGCATTGGCTACATCAAGAATTTGAGGATAAACCAGGCATGGTAATGCAGGAGGCAGAGGAAGATGATTCTTTATGATTTTGAGGCCAGCCTGGTCTACATGGAGAACTCTAGGCCAACCTAGTGAGACCTTGTCTCAAAGAAAAAAAAAAGAAAAAGAAGAGTTTGAGGACAGCCTGGGCTCCTGGTGGCACATGCCTTTAATTCTAGCTCTTGGGAGGCAGAGGCAGGCAGATCTCTGTGAGTTCAAGGTCACCCTGGAGTTCCAGGCCAGATGGGGCTACAGGGGAGACCCTGTCTCAAAAAGACGCCCCCCCAAAAGGGACACCCAGTCTCAATAAAAATAAAGGAATGAAAGACAAAACTAGCTCTTGCTACTTCAATACCCAAAAAGTTGAATCCACATATCTATCATAAGAAAGAAAAAATTGACAGAATTAAAGCTAGAAAGAAGTGAGCTTTACATTACTGTCTCTCATGACTCCTGTGTTCTTCAGCATACATTCTGTCCTCCCTCGTCACTAATATTAACCTTCTCTAGTCACATTACCTACACTTACACTTGCTTATGCATCATAGGCTTGGGTCCACCCAATGAGGTGAGGGAGAACATGTACTTTTTTTTTCTTTTTGAGTTTGGGTCACCTTGATTAATGTATTTTCCAGGCCCAATTTTCCTGCAAATTTCATTTCACTTTCTTTATGGCTGAATAATACTCTATTTTGTATATATGCCATATTTTCATTATTTTTGCATTCCATAAAAATCCAAAAAGTGGATCACTTGAGGCAGTGATTGTGAAGTTGGGCTTTCTTCTTCATTTCATTGACAACTAGTGCAATAGGAATTATTCATGACTGGTCACTAAATACATTTGTTGCATTGCCCAACTTAGAAAAAGTAATCTTTGGGGCTGGAGAGATTGCTCAGTGGGAAGTTGAGAGCACTGGCTGCTCTTGCAGAAGACCCAGGTTCGATTCCCAGTCCACATGGTGGCTAACAACTGTCCTTAACTCCAGTTCCAGGGGATCCGATGCCCTCTTCTGACTCCATGGGCACTGCATGACATGGGTGCACTTAAATACACGCAGGCAATACACTCATACACATAAAATCAAAATAATAAATAAAACATTTTAGAAAAGAAAGAAAAAGTGATCTTTAAAAACTTTGCTTTTGGGCTGGGCATGGTAGTGCATGCCTTTAGTCCCAGCACTTGGGAGGCAATGCCAGCTGGGGCTCCAGGGAGATCCTGTATCAATAAAATAAACAAACAAAAAATTTGTTTTTGTTTTGGGGGTAAAGATTTTGTAACCTGAAATTTTTCCTTTTTTTTCTTCTGTTTAAAACTGTAAAGCTATTGGAACTTTAAAATATTTTAAAATTTATTTATCTTTATCATTATGTGTATGAATGTTTTGACTGCAAATGCACCAGTGTTGTGCAATGCCTGTGGAGGTCAGAAGAGGGCATCAGATCCCCTGGAACTGGAGTTACTGACAGTTGTTAGCCGCTATGTGGGTGCAGAGGACCAAACCCAGGTCCTCTGAGAGAGCTGCCAGTGCTCTTAACTGCTGAGTCATCTCTCCAGCCCCATTTTTATGTTTTAAAAATGTTAGGAAAACAAAGTAATAATAGAGGAAAGAAAAAGCCTGGCAACTTCTAGTTTATTTTCTTGGTCTCTACCATGCATTTTATTTTACTTTTTTTTTGACTTAAAAAAATAGGGGGTGAGGAGCTGGAGAGATGGCTTGGTGGGTAAGAGCACTGGCTCTCTTACAGAGGACCTGGGTTCAATTCCCAGCACTCATATAGCAACTAACAACTGTTGGTAACTCCAGTTTCAGTAGATTTGGTGCCCTCTTCTGACCTCTGCAGGCATTGCACACACAGGTATACTTACACACAAGTAGGCCATATACTCATACATATAAAATTAATTATAAAAATAAAAATATTTAAAAGCTGGGCATGGTGGCACACACCTTTAATCTCAGCACTTGGGAGGCAGAGGCAGGCAGATCTCTGTGAGTTCAAGGCCAGCCTGGTCTACATAGTGAATTCCAGGACAGCTGGGGCTACAGGGAGACCTTGTCTCAAAAAGACCAAAAAAAAAAAAAATTAAAATATTTATTTATTTATTTATTTATTTATTTATTTATTTATATTTGTATGAGCACCTGCATGCATGCAAGTGTACCCATGCCATCCAGTGCCCACAGAGACCAGAAGATGGCATTGGATCCTCTGGAAGTTATGGGTGGAAGTTATAGGTGCTGGGTCCTTTGTAAGAGCAGTACTCTTAACCACTGAGCCATCTCTCTGGTCTGTGCCAGTACAGTGTAGCTACCAAGTGTTACCATTCAATTGTCACAGCAGAGTAAATCCTCTATCCTCACCAGTTCCTTCCTTCTGTGCTTGTCCTGGCAAACCCCACAGGCAGAGAGGAGAAACACTTAAAGGAGCCCAAGCTGCTGAGAAGTGAGTTTGAGAAATTGGCAGGAAGCAAGCGGAGATGTGGGCAAGTGAAGGCTGAAGCAGCCTACATGGCTCTAGAGGGGGAATGGGCAGATAGGAAGAGTGGAGCCCATAGCCAGACTCCTGTGGGTGGACAGCAGTGCCAGGCATCCCTCTTACCGAAAGGGGCCAGCTGATGCAGGTGAGCACACGGTACAAGCGGAAGAGGTGGACCAGGTAAAAGGCCAGGATCATAATCAGGTCGCACATGGTGACTACTTCAAAGAAAGTGTAGGCGCTGTAGTCGATCCGAAGGGAAGTCCTCACACAGATGAAGGCAATCAGCAGGGTGACCTGAGAGGGATACAAAGATGTTGACATACATCTGCCCAAGATGGGGTCCTGGTGGGACAAGAGAAAACCAGTCAAGCCACTCCCCTGGCAGGCCTGAACTGATAAACTGCTACAATCCAGGTTATTCCCACACAAATTGGCTGGGTGATTTGAAGACTTCACATTCGTGTGACGCAGGCTTTAAAAATACATGCAGAGCAGCCAGTGAGAAGGCTCAGGAGGTTAATATGCTTGCCAAGCAAGCTTGATGACCTGAGTTCAATCCCCAGAACCCATGTTAAAAAACAAGCAAACAAAAAGGCCAGATTCAGTGGTGGTACCCATGTATAATCCCAGCGCTCCTACAGAGAGATGGGAGGCAGAGACAGGGGAATTTCCTAAAAGCTCCTGGGCCAGCTAGCCTGGAGTATGCAAGTATGCAGCACAGCAGAACCAAAACCTTCAACAAGGTGGGGGGAACCAACCCCTGAAAGTTGTCTTCTGATCTCCACCATGTGTTCTGTGACTCTGTCTCTCTCTCTCTCTCACCCCACTACCACCTACCACCACCACCACCACTAATAATAATAATACATGTTGGTTGTGGATGCTGAGGACCACAGTGATGGTCTCCTTCCCCTCTGAAGCCCACTACACTGGGCAGCAGGATGCTATTTCCCCAGTACTCCCTCCCCACTGCAATCATTCTTCAGGCAAAGCCTACTTTTGGAAAGTATAACTTCCACAGTATACAGTGTGTTCCTGGGTATCCCCTAAAAGCGCTTCCTTTCTGTCCAGGGAATGATTCATTCCAACTTGAAGCAGTCAGCATCTAGACTGGTGGGGAAAAGACCTGCAATCACAGTTCTTCGGAAGTTTCAATTGGTATGAGTTCAAAGCCAGCCTGGGCTACATAGTGAGTTAGGGCCAGCTTTCACCACCTACTGAGACCCTGTCTCAAAACAAAATGAATAGGGGTTGGAAAGATGGATCAGCAGTTAAAAGCACTGGCTGCTCATGCAGACGACCAGGGTTCAGTTCCCAGCACCCACATGGTGGCTAACAACATTCCATAACTCCAGTTCCAGGGGATTCAATGCCCTTTTCTGGCCTCTACAGACACTGCATGCATGTGTCTTATGTACATGTAGGCACAACACTCATATATGTAAAATAAGTAAATACAATTTATTTTTATTCTATGTATATGAATGCTTTTGTGTGGGAAATCCTGGGTTTGAGCTCCAGCAGGGAAGAAATTGGGTGTAAGTGTGCACATTTGATATCTCAGCACTCTGGAGGTAGAGAACGGAAGATCAGAAGTTCAAAGTCCCCATCTTCAGCGACATAGGAACTTTAAGACCAGCTTGGGACCTTGTCTCAGAAAGAGAGAGAGAGGGAGAGGGAGGATAAGAGAGAGAGAAGAAAGGAAAGAGAGAAAGAAGAAAGGAAGAAAGAAAAAGAAAGAAAGAAAGAAAGAAAGAAAGAAAGAAAGAAAGAAAGGGAGGAAGGGAAGGAAGAAAGGAGTTGAAAGAGGTGATCATGTGAAGTTGAAGTGGGTTCCAATTTTACAGAAGATAAGGACGTTCACACTACACAGGCATGATTGCCCCTGACTTGGGATCAAGCCAGGCTAGTTGGCACGTGAACACTCATAGCTGGACACTGGATGCTGGCCTAGCTCTCAGCCTGGGTAACTGTCCTCCAGAAACAAATAGAACTCTGATGTTTAAGAAAGATCTGGAGGAGAATGAGAGGCAGTTATCAGGAGATGCCTTTTTCTGTCCTGGGCAAAGGTGGCGTCTGGTGTCTCAGGGATCTGTCACCCACTGCCTGCAGCTTATGCTTGGGGACAGCCACTCAGCAGGCCTGAGCCCTCATGCCCTGGCCCAGTCGACCCACTGAGCTTGCTTGTATCTGGCTGAAGGTGGCACCAGACATCTTTTTTCAGAACCCCTGAGCTGGAAGCTGGCAGGTCACCCAGCTCCACTGTCCTGGCCCTGACCTTGGAATGATGCTTCAGTAAGGGAGATGGATGAAAGCCAACACCAAAAGGTTTCAGAGTCAGCTCTAAGAGGGGTTTCTGGCAAAGTCTGAGATGAAAGTGAGGCTTGCTCAAAAAGTCAGAGATGGAGAGGGCTACTTGGCTGAAACTGCATTTGTAAGTGTAGAGGGGTGTGCAAAGGTCCGGCTTGGCCTGAGCAGGCAGGCGGAAAAGCCTGCCTCTTTCCTGACTTTGGCTGAGTTTTACACATGCATATCCCTGCCACCTCCCTGTTAAAACCCCAATAGTTGAGGAAGCCACCACCCAAACACTTTTACCAGCAGCAGACCCTTAAAAAAAAAATGTGTATGTGTATGTGTGTCTGCTCCATGCATGTGGGTGCGCCAGAGACAAGAAGAGGGTGTCAGATCTCCTGGAGCTGGAGTTACAGGTGGTTGTGAGCCACCCAATGTGGGTTCTGGCACGTGAGTCCTCTGTAAGAGCAGCATGCGCTCTTAATTGCTGAGCCATCTCTCCATTGAGCAACTCTTTACAACTGTATGAAATGTGTGCTTAGAGTTAGTTTACAGAAGCTAGAGGCATCTGATCCCTTGGAGCTGGAGTCACAGGCAGTTATGAGCTGCCTGATAAGGGTTCTGGGAACCAAACCTGGGTCTTCGGCAAGAGCAGAACATGTATATAACTGCTGAGCCATCTCTCCAACCCCAGCAGACTCTTTACTTTAAGGCTCTTTCCAACTCTCCCATTCCCTAGAATATAGTTCTGTTTGCATCCATAAAATTGCCGTAGCAATGCAGATGAGGGCATTTGAGCTGCAGCTCAGTTGGTAGAGTGCCTGTCTAGCATTCAGGAAGCCCTGTTTTCCGTCTCCAGCACCACATAAACTGGGTGTGGTAGTGCATGCTTGTAATCTTAGCACTTGGGAGGTATAAGCAGGAGAATCAAGGTTATCCTTAGCTACATAGCAAGTTTGAGGCCAGCCTGGGATATATGAGACCCTGTCTCAAAACAATACAACACAGCAAAAGAGAAGCCAAGACCCAGAGACATTAAATGATTTGCAGTAAGCACACAGCTAGTATGTTGGGAGACTGGGACATAGGTAGCTTTTCTCTTCAGGACTGTAACCACTCATTCCCACAGCAACTGATGGTCCTCACATGGTAGCTGGATCTCTGATGGGTGCCACCTAGGCTCCACAGTGGCTGAATCCACAAAAGTGACCGAGAAAGAGGACTGGGCGGGAAGATGTCTGGGGGTCAGTGGGTGATGGAGAGGTGGGAGCTGCAGGAGCCAAATGAGGTGATTGGGAGCCTGTGGATGATGAATTCAAGAAAAGCAGGAAAAGCAGCACCTCTCAAGGACCTCGTGGAATTCCCACAGTGGTCAGCCAGGCTAGAAGGCCCTGGGCCCAATTCACAGTCCAGGAGAGAGAAGGGATCAGGGGTGGGAAGAGGCTCAGGCCAAGTGGCAAGTGAGCTGTCTTAGCTTCTTTTCCTGTTTCTATGATAAAATACTCTGACAAAAGCAATTTAAGGAAGAAAGGGTTTACTTTGGCTCATAGTTCAAGGAACAGTCCATTATGGCAGGAAATCAAGGCAGCCGGAGTTTGAAGCAGCCGTTCACATTGCACCCACAATCAGGATGCAGGGAGTGATGAAGGCGTGCTATTGCTCAGCCCCTTTCTCCACTGACACAGTCCAGGATCCAGCCAGGGAATGGCACCACCCACAGTGGACATGTCTTCCCACCTCAGTTAGCACTATCAAGATGGTCTGCTCTCTTGCTTCTTGTGCCTGCTTGAAGAGCCTAGCTTCTGATCCTCCTCCAGCCACCTCTGCCACCATGCCTCCCCACTATGATGGACCCTTGCCCCTTTGGAACTGTAAAGCTTAAATAAACTCTTCCTTCTATAAGTTGCTTTTGTCAGTGTTTCTATCAAAGCAACAGAAAAGTGACTAATACAGTAATTGGTACCAGAGAGTGGGCTGTTGACTGTGAAGAACCTGACCATGTGGGGTTTTGGAAGAATGTGGAAGACTTTGGAAGTTTGGAGGAGAAAAGCAGTTGATTGCTGTAAACAGAGCGTAACAGGCCATTCTAGTAGGTGCCTGGAAGAAAATAGTGCTAAGAACAATGTAGTTCCAGAGGGAAATAAAGACTTAAGCAGCAATTGGGATATTTTGGCAAAGAGTCTGGCTGGAGTCTGCTCACAGCCAAAAAGCTTGCCTGAGGCTAAGTTGAAAAGCCATGGACTAATTTCTTTGGCAGAAGAAATTTCAAGACAGCCTAACATAGAAATGGTGGTGTTGCTATGAATGGTGAATATTATGCAGATCTACAGTGGAAAACAGCAAATGAGGCAGAAAGAAATACAGAATGGACAGTTTGGACTGAACCCAGGGCTTCATGCATGCTAGGCAAACTGAGCCATATCCCCAGTCCTGTAAAAAGCACTTTAAAAAGTATTTTATTTATTATTTTAATTTCTTGTGTATGAGTGTATTGCCTGCATGTATGTGAGTGCAGCCATGTCCTGGAGTGCCTGCAGAGGTCAGAAGAAGGCATTGGATCCCCTGAAACTGGACTATGGATGGTTGTTAGCTGCCATGTGGGTGCTGGAAATTGAACTTGGGTCTTCTGCAAAAACAGCCAGTGCTTTTAAGCACTGAGTCATCTCTCCAGTTCCCCCCTTATATTTATGTGTATGAGTGTTTTGCCTGCATGTATGTAAATGCACCTGTGTCACACAATGCCAGAAGAGGGTGCTGGATTCTCTGGAACTGGAATTATAGACAGCTGTTAGTCACCATGTGGGTACTGGGACTCAAACCCAGGTCCTCTGGAAGAAAAGCAAGTGTTCTTGACTGCTAAGCCATTTCTCCATCCCTAAGCACTTTTATTTTTAAAATTTTTATTTATTTTATGTGTATGAGTGTTTTCCCTGCATGTATGTGAAGTACACCCAAGTAGTGCAATACCTGCAGAGGCCAGAAGAGGGAGTCAGAGCCTCTGG